TCATTCAGTGTTTGACAGGCATTCAAAACTGGAATTAGGTGCTGAACAATGTGAAAACTGATATTAATAATAAAGAGAGATTAATAATAAAGCACACAAATGTCCAAAGCATATAATGCAAGAGCAAACCATCAGTGTTTTACTAGAGTTTTACATTTTCTGAAGTCCAAAACTTGACACGATGATGCTAGAGTCTTATGGGTGGTTGCCAGGGTGTTGTTGCAAAGGGGTTTTGAGAGGCTTTTAGCATGTTGCTTTGCAGTTGCTAGGGTGTTCTGAGTTTGAGCTTGGCGTCACTTTTCTAGTCTTCCATCACAAATCATGTGAGAGAATCATTATTCTATCTATGCCTGAAGGGCAATGACAGATAAAAGTATCCATGTTAAAGAAGATGTATAAAAACGTTTTAAAATCTAGTTTAAAACACGTGTCAAGTTCCTATAATAGCACTCTTTGTATTTATTTTGGTTTTATACAGTTTAAAACATTTACACCATTAAATGTAATGACTCTAAAATTGCCATGTGACCAGAACTAACCTTGACTTCTCATAAAAAAAGGTCAATGATCTAATATTTTAACAGATTTGTTGACCTTGACGCTGTCACGAGTCACGACTGCACCGGGTCCTTTCTTACCACTGCACTGCCTCACTCAAAAGCAAAACTCATCTTAATACCAGGTGTTAACTCACTATTCAAGCCCAGCTTCTGCATTTGCCACAGAAACAGCTCCTGGTCCTTGTTACTGGGGATATCTCTGTTGTAAAAGACTCTAATGTGAAGAAAACCGGTTTTCTCTGTTTGGACTATTAACTTTAGTCTTGTTTTCAAGTACAGAGTGATTAGTTTTGCTTTTCTACATGCATGGAATTTCAGCACATGTGTGCATTAAGTTTTTTTATTGTGAAAAATAAACTCCTGCACAGGATTAGGGTCCATATTTCTTATTCTCCCTTGCATTATTGTTATCGTTACAGACGCACAGCCAGGAGGATAATTTTGAGGGGTTTTTTCCCCTGTATGTTGACTGGAACTCATGAATTTTATTCCATGGACAAAAGTGTTTCAAATATTAATTAGCATAAACGCAGCTTTGGATTTTTTCCCCCCTAAGAATTACACTACTGTTCAGAGGTATGGGGTCAGTAAGATTTTTTGTCATTTAAAATAATTATATAGTTTTTAGCAAAGATGCATTAAATTGATCAAAAAGCATTAAGGCATTTAGGCATTTGGAATGTTACAAAAGATAAATGCTGTTCTTTTGAACTTTATATTCATCGTAGAATCCTGAAAGAAAAAAGTATTATGGTTTCACGAAATTATAATAGCTATAAATCCCGATATGTGAGTGGAAAGGTTTATAGATCAGGCTTGTCTGTGCGGCACAAATGTATTTTGTGTTCCATGCATGAATTAAATTATGAAGAAAGATGGATTGAAGAGGCGTTGTAAGACTTCTGCATGCTAGTTTTTCAATAGCTTTCAAAAAGTAGCAGGGACAATATTGACTTTGGCAAAACTTGGTGGGGACGTACATTAAACATTTGACACTTAAAACTAGAGTAATGGCTGCTGAAAATTCAGCTTTGCCATCAGAGAAAAATAAAAATAAACAAGTAGCATAGAAAATAAAATTGTAATATTATTTCACAATATTTACTGTATTTTTGGTAACACTCTACAATAAGGTAGTTAGCATTAGTTGACAAACTAATAATTAACTGCAGCGTTTATTAATGTTAATGTTGATTTCAACACTTACTAATATATTTTTAAAATCAAAAGTTGTATTTGTTAACATTAGCTAATGCACTGTGAACTAACATGGACAAACAATAAACAACTGTATTTGTATTAACTAACGTTAAAACAAAGATGAACAAATACAGTAGCAAATGTGTTGCTCGTGGTTAGTTCACGTTAGTTAATACATTATGTTAACAAATGAAACCTTATTGTAAAGTGTTACCGTATTTTTGGTGAGACTTGAGCCTTGGTGAGCATAAGAGACTTCTTTCAAAAACAAACAAAAAAGATTAGCATCATGTCATTGACCCCTAAACCACAATCCTAAATCTGACATCAGTCTGTATGTGCAGAAATGAATCCAGTAAAGACATATACCGATACACCAAAAAGACAATCAATACTGTTTATTTCACACTCCCCCCAAAACCGAACAGCCATTAAATCCATTACCGTCTGAGTAGACCTCAAAAGGATTCAGAAGTGTGTGAAGTGACAGGTTGCAATCTCTCATGTCCATACCCTACTCTATATTGAAGTTCTCAGGAGAACCTAACCAGAGCGTGAAACTGGTCCCAAACCTTACCCGCATCCCACCTCAATACCAGCAAGTGTTTTACAATACAACATGAACACAATAAGTGCAAAATATAACATTATTTTATGCACGTACATAGTAGTTATTAAAGACACCTAATATAAAGTGGGATTCATGGTTGCCCTTTTTAACGGTTTAACTCTCAGTATCTGATATAACAAGTTCTTCTTTTGAATTCTCCCACAGTCCTCTGTGAATTTAGACTTTGTTAGCGATAATTCGCTGCCTCTCAACTACACAGTCCAGTCGCAGGTGTTGTCTGCGAGCGAGGTTGCTCCTAAAATGTGATTCAAAACAAAAGCTTCGCTGCCAACTGTTTCCTGACATGCCGATCTGCTCTATTAAGGCTGATTTATTACTGACATTACACACACATCTGCTCATGGCCACGCATTCACTCACACTCACGCTGTAAGTGGCTCTTCTCTATGCGATAAATGGCCGCATCTCACCTACCGGATGTACAAACCGCAGCACGCTGTTAGAGACATCACTATCTGCTTGCTTTTCTGCTAAAGGAATTGATGTAGGATAAAGGATAATCCTCTCCAGCCCTCCTTAGGAATATCTCTTATCTGTGCTATAACACAACAGCATTAGGACTATCATGTGGGGATTACTCTTGAAAGGCAGAACAATCTCAGCATTTCAGTCGGACTGATCAAATGCAATCTAAGCCTCTCCATGAAATAGAGATTTTTTGGCGACTTTTTAGAGAGTAACAGCGAACCTGCTGACTTTGTGAGCGCTCAACTTCAAATGAAACATTCATGAGGCTGTTATGTTATGGTCTGATGACTGTAATGAGTGATATCAACAGCTGATTAATTCCTGCGCTACGAGTGCACAGTGTGCCAGACTCATTAGCACACAGCGAGTGCTCTTCAGAACTCAAATAACCTTGAGAATCCATTGATTTCTTCTGACGGCATCTCACCTTTGGTACCGCGGGGATGTTGACGACAACACAAGGAAGATGTTTACCTACTCTGCCTTCCTGAGAACATTGAATTATTGAAGTGGCATTTTAGAGAAGGCTACAGATTTTACAGTTATTGCGTATCTAAAGAGGACAAAGAACACATCGGTTTCAGACGTGTGAAACGGTCGAATTAAATCACCGGGATTCATGTTGGTGCATAAGTCTGTCTCAATCAATTTATCCATGTCTGCCAGTAAGTCCTATAAAAAAAGAAGACTTTTTTTTCTTCAAACAAGGCTCTTAAGCCAATATATGAACTGACTTTTTAAAGTAAAAACACTTTCTAATCTTTGTATTCATGTTGGTTTCACATGGATTAAACAATTTAATAATTCAATTTAATAAATAAAATGTCATGCGGTGTAACCATCAAATTGTATTAATTAATAAATGTCAAGGCTGTCAAGCGTTGATTTTTTAAAAATGTAATTAATTACACGTTGTGGCGATTAATTAATTGCAAATTAATCACACATCAAATCTGGCTGATAAATTACCCCCAAAAGATAATTTAAAGTCATTATTGTGTTAAATTAGAAAAGCATCAAATAGACATTACAAAAAGTAGCTTTAGAAAAAAAATATATTTGATTTGATTCAATATAGAATTTATTACACACAATCTTTTAGGCTTCAACAGCCATGAGGGTGAGTAAATGTTGACAGAATTTAAATTTTGGGGTGAACTATACCTTTAATGGGTTTTTTTTATTAATATGGAAATTAATTAAATGATACTCTAAATAAGAAACTAAAACTGACAGTACGTGACGGTAAATGATTCACCCTGAACCAACTTTGCCATAAAAAAAAGTTAATACACTTATTGATTATTATTATTTCCTGTTGTATGTTTTTTGTTCATGTCTCAGCGTGTTAGTTGCACCACATGACTTTGAATTGGTGGACAAAAGCTTTCCAAATATTATTAAGCAGGTTTTTTTTATTACAGAAATTCGTAAACAAATGTAACCTTTTGTAAATTGTCACCAATTTATTTGCACTTCCTTAAATTTAAATAACAGATAAGAGCCACTGCCTGAAACCTCCTAATGTACAGTTATGCAATACGTTTTACGGTTTTAAGGCTACGTTTAAGCTGTCAGTGTTTGGGATTGACAACCGCATTTACTTACACATGTGTGTTTCGAGATGTCCCATTCACACAGCAATTTAGCCTCTCGAATACTGTCTATTTTCAAATCTATATTAACCGACAGCAGCTTTTATATCTGGGTGGAAAACGGAGCATTTGAGTCGCGCATAGAACACAAAACTGACAGGAGACGCTCGAGTGGAGAACAGAGACTGGATCTAAAACCTTCAGTAAGATACTAAAAGCAACACAAGGTAGATAGAGCATCTCTCTCACACTGTATGACGTGACGGATAACTAGTTGTCAAGTCCAGTTCTGTTAACACAGTGCAAGTTTTCAGAGAATGCGGGTTGTGAGTCCTGAAAATGTATGTGTGTGAGGTCGTCACTCCTGTAAATAGTTAACTGGTCTGTGTGTGAATGTAACCATATTAAGGACTCAAATACAGGACTCTGCTGCTATGTGAACGTGGCTTGATGTTTAGAATCCGGGCCAGATTTATTACCTCCTCCATACGCACAGTGCATCACAAACATGTCGCCGACTACAGGAGGTGGTTACAAAACTCTCACCTGTCTTTGCCTGTCTCCTTTTTGAAAACCGTGTCACAGTAATTCATGCGCTCTTCTGTGGTGACGTAGATGCGAGCCTGTGGGTAGTTTTCCACCGCTTGCCGCAGCATGTTGTACACAATGCCCTTGCCATCCTGCCTCATGTTGCGCAAGGGTCCCCAGACCACATAGACGGTCTCGTTCCCCTGGCCGAAGAAGTGCTGGGGCTTCTGGATTAGCAGAGGAACACTAGTGTGAGACACCACTCTCAGGTCCGTCCTGCGGCCCACGTCCCTCTCAAAGCCCCGGCTGGGTGCGTTGTTCATTCTCCATATGCAGGAGGACTGGTCGATCTCAGTCCCTGCCTCACGCCCCAACATCTGGCCAGAGCTGGACACGATACTGCAAACCTCACAGTGCAGCTTCAATGGCTAGAAGTAAAGAAGAGAAATGGGGTTAATTAGCATTAGAGGTTCATTTAAATCATGAATCGCAAGCTTTCATAGTCTATTTTACTAAATAATACAAAATAATTATATACAAAATTGTATATCATAAAACTTGAATTTGAACTTTTTTACTAAAACAATGTTAAAATTTGACCATCTGTCTTTTTTACTCAAACGTCTTTTTAGTAAAGCATAATGATTTAACATACAATTCACTTGTACATTCTGAGAATCTTTTTTATAACTAATTTAAAAAATATAATAAACAGTAAACTTAAAGTGGTGCAACATTAAAACAAGATAAGTAACCACAATACAAAAACGAACCATCTGTCTTTTTTAACTTTAAAAATGTCTGTATAGTAAGTTTGATCATTTAGATTTGATATAAAATTCACAAAAGAGTCCCCAGACCACATTATATAAATTATTCATGTTTTGTTAGAAAATAGTTTGAAAGCATATCAAAAAGGTCTCACAACAAAAAACATCTATGCCACTGGCTTTTAAAAAAGAGTAAAGACACAAAAGGTTTTTTTTCAGCAATAATGAGATATAACTTCCCATTGAATTGTTCACCTAAATCTCGGTCTTACAATCTATTGAGTGGCTCTATGGATACACGACGTTGAGGTGATGCAGTGTGTTTTCAAGTGCAGTCAAGTGTGGCATTATTGTGAATGTCGCAGCTATATTTGGTTCTTGTTAGTGTCATGCAAACCGTACTGGATGAGCATCCATTCTATGGTGGAAAGATCCACCTCTTTTTTTTTCTTTCTTTTTTTTTGAGAATCCACTTTAATGGCTCACAAATAGTCAGGTGGTCCATGGTGCATTTCTGAATTATGTGAACAAAAATCTTTTTGGAAAAACACGGAACGATTCCAATTAAGGCAAGTTTGATGAGAACCCATATGCAGTCTATTTACAAATATGTGAACAAATGTAAAAATAAACAAAGACGTGACTTGGCGATAAACATGAACAAACCATGACCTTGACCACGCCAAATAGCAGTAACAGGGAACAAAGCTGGACAAAAGAACAATGGGAACATGACATGGACTAATGACTTAAGACACACCAATGAAAGTAATCAACCAATGAACCAATTACAAAACAGAACAGAGAAACACATGAACCAAACAACCAATGAAAACATGACACATGAAACAAGGAGGCACATGACAGGGTCACATAAGGAGCAAGGGAAACACATGATAATGGGAAAAAGACATGAAAACATGGACATGAAACAAAACCACAACCAATTGTGATACACTATATGTTGGAGTGCTGCAGTGACCATCTATGAAGCATACTGGACCCCAGTAAAGCAAACAGCATGTGAGAAATAAAAATCTCAATCTGCATGATATTCAATTAACATTCGCAATTAAAACATTACCGATTTGTACAGATTACATTTTAGATCTGATTTGATTAAAGTGGTACTTATCCTGAAAAGTTTGAGAAGCACAGTAAAATATAACATCTGCTTAGTCTGCTTAAATATACAAAAAATTTGAAAAAGTGTGAAATGCATACGATGTGTTCAAATTTGACAGCGGCTGGATGTAACCGTTCAACGAGTCGGTGAAGAGCTGAAACCGGAGACGTGAAGTCGGACACTTTCTGCTTCCCGTAGTAACGCTCCTGCTGTGTTTGCATAATTTACCACAGCTGAAGTGAAATAAATGCAATATTTGTCAAATTCAAATACTTTGAAGACGTTTTCATTCAATACTTGTACTGCTTAATACAGCGTGTGTTTGTACAACATAAGCATACTTTTTAAATACCAATGTAGCAAGGTCTACGTTTTTTTTTTATCAGTTTCATTTTGATAAGCATGACACAATATAGCATCACGACCACATTAAAAGAGCTTACTGTTATAAAAATTCTGATTTGTGAGCATTAGTGGAACTGCAGGTTTCAGAATTGTGCAGCCGCTCTGGAAAAGCTGCGCCGGCTGATTCGGCCGACTGCTCTTGAATCGCTCTCGCTGTACTTTGATGCCATACGTCACAGTGACGTGGCGTCTGCGATGTATCAAGTCAGACAAAATTTCTAACCGGCATGCACTGCTTCAAGTCATGCGCCGATCGGTCTGCGCAGCGCTGTATGAAGTCAAACAAGCCTTTTGACAAGAGCCTTAAACATTTACTCCTTCTAACCAGCAGTGTAATGACTAATCATCAACACCATGGCATTAAATCTATCACCCTGGTCTTTCTATTTATCCACCTAGAATACCGAAGGGATGCTGAGTGCCATGAGATTGCCCTAACAAATTAGAGCATGTTTGCCCTGCTTGGCTGATCTGCAAATCTGAGAACAATTTACTATTGCTCAAGACAGGATAATGGTGGCAGGGGCCGATCAATAGCTTATGGCTGACCAGCAGATCAGTAACAATTAGTAAGTAATTTGAGTTACTCCTCCTTAAATGTAACATTACTTACATTATTCTATTGGGAACAAAGAACTGATAAGACAACCACTGAATCACTGTGACAGTGGAAAAAAAAACAGCAGTAAGCCTTCAGACACACTTAGTGCTTGGCAAATGATAGACATTTGGCTTCCAAAAATGGAAATGAGATTATGTGTATCATCAGACCAAATAAATGTATGGAAATTAAAGTAAAGAAGATGCACAAGTTATTTCTGGCATTTCTTCGATTTTCTAAAGCCCCTTTCACACAGCAAGTTGATCCCAGAAGATTGCCAGACAATTTCCAGAGTGCCTTCTGTGTGAACACAAACACGTCCCGGCATCTTGAGTCCGGCATCGATCCCGGGATCGGGACCTAGTAACATTGCAGGGACCAGTCCCAGAACCTGTGTGAACAAAAGGCAGGATCAATGCCGCAAAGGGCTGTGCCGTGGTGATGAAGCTGAGATCCTTCACCAGCTTAGTGAAATGGTACGTGATGCGCTAATTTATGATCGAATCAGAAAAGAATATGCACAAGCGTGGAGAGAAATCGCAGATCATAAGCAAACTTTAGACGCTGCAGAGACATTACACGTCACACAGATGTCACATGTCTTTACGGGATGTGTGAATGCAAGGCACGCACAGTTCCGGAAAATCACTGGCAGTGTGAATGAACCTAAATCAAATGATCCCTTGACAAATTCCGGGGCACATAATCAGTGTATTTTCCGGAATCTCTGTATGAAAGGGGCTTAATTTGCCTCAAATATAAAATAAATACTTTTATTAAGTATTTAAATAAAGGAGTAGAGAATATATTGGCTAAAGCCATACTGCATTGACTAATATAATAATTAAGTAAATTAAAGTAAAATAAAAAACAGTAGATAGTATATATCACTATATACAGTAGGTATTAGAGCATGACCCCTATTTAGAAAATCCAGTCATGTTCAAGAACAGTCAACTTCAGGTCTGTGGGGTAGAAAGATGACCGGAGCTACCTTGAGTCGTGCCTCATAAGATAGCCAAGGTTTCTTGCAGGACTGTCTAAATCACGTCAACTAACCACTGGGGTACCTCAGGGTTCAGTGCACAGCCCCCTTCTCTTATCAATATACACAATATCACTATGCCCAAATAATCTTTGTTTTGATTCCCACCTCGTGTCTTTTATTTTGAAAGTTACTGTCTCTCTTGTCTATGGTGGCTCAGTGGAGAGAACTGTTGCCTCACAGCAAGAAGGTCACCGGTTTGAGTCCCAACTGAGAAAGGAGGCCTTTCTGTGTGGAGTTTGCATGTTCTCCCTGTATCCACGTGGGTTTCCTCCAGGTGCTCTGGTTTCCCAACAGTCCAAAGACATGCAGGTTAGGATTGGATTGGTTGCTGTAAAATTGGTCATAAGAGTACGTGCATGTGTGTCCCAGCACTGGGATTGCATACGTTTACACTCAATGCTCGCTTGCATCAGGAAGCATATCACACAACACTGAAGTCTGATTAAACCCACCAGTCCTTATTATTACAGAAAACTGAAGGACAGCTATGCTCCAGCCAAAACTTTATCTTAAACATTAATAAATAAACATTAATATTTGATTGTTCCTTACAAAAATAAGCTAGATGTCAAGGAGGTTTTTAACACTCATGGGTATCATAGTGTTTTGCAAAAAGAAAATGGACCAATTTAAATTACTTTAAATTAACCAAGATTCAAACCAAACTAATAATATGCCCCCTGTGTTCCAAGACAGGATCTCTTGAGCACATCTTGAGCACCTGCCCCTGGGCCCTAAGCGATGGCCGTTATCGCTGAAGACACGATCAAGTCCTCAAGACCACAGCTGAGGCGATCAGTAAGGGGATCACGAGAGCAGATGCACCAACACTACAGCCAGGATGATTGCATTCATGAAGGAGGGAGAGCAGCCCATGAGGAAAAAACAACCCTGTTGGCTTACTCTACACAGCAAGAGACAGGGTGATGACAGTGGACGTGGATCGGCAGCTGACAATTCCAGCAAACATCCCCCAGACCAGGATGATGTCTGGTCTATGAAACAGCTTATCCTACTGGAGCTAACTGTGCCTTGGGAGGAGAGAATGAAAGAGGCGCAGGAGAGAAAGAAGGAGAAGTATGAGGGACTGGTGCATGGAGGCCTGCCGTTGTAATGGGTGGAAAACCAGGTGCATGCCAGTGGAGGTGGGTTGCAGAGGATTTGCAGGTTATTCCCTCAGCAAGTCTTTTGGACTGCTGGGAATAACTGGTGCAAGCCGGAGAAGAGCCAACAGCAACAGCATGGAGGCTTCAGAGTGGGCATCAAGATGGCTATGGTTGAAAAGGGGTAACGTGTGGGTCCGCAAAATGCCACTTGGGACACAGACAGAGGTTTGATCAACCTCGGTCAGGTCGCCTGGAAGAGGGTGTCTGTTGAAAGACCCGAAACACTCAATGACGCCATGAAACAACACTGATGATGTGTTTGTGCATCAGAGGTTGTATGAATAACTGGGAAAAAGAAGGGTCCTATAATAC